AACTTTAACTGAAAATTTTGAACAAATATTTCGTTCCTACATTATTATTCTCAAATTGTTTTTGTTTATTCTGGTCTTAAGATAAATATGCTTTTGTTTCTTTTCAAATAAATAACTTATTTTCACCATTTCTTTTAAATATAAATATTTATTCAACAACTTTTTGTTAAGAGTTATTATATCGCATTCTTCAATCTGTAATCATTTTTTTTATTTTCTGTTCAGTTTATACATGACTGACTTAACCTCCATGAGAATTTATTTAACCTTTTTTGTGACCGTAACTTGAATAAAAACTATATTCCGAATTTAGCTGGAAGCTTTTTTCATTAATTACAAAAAAAAAAAGGACGTAATTCCTTCAATGTAGGAATCTCCTAATATCAGCAATTTCATCAATTCATCTGTTTTAGAACTATTAGCAATTTCATTAATTTATCTATTTCTCAATTATTAGCAAGTTCGTCATCAATTTCACGTTTTTTCCAGCAAGTTTATCAATTTATTGATTCCTGAATTATTAGCAATTTCATCAACTTCAAAGTTCAGATTTCAAACGTTAATTGGCGTTCTTTATTCTTTATTTTCAAGTTCTTTATTTTAATTAAACTATAACAACAATTAATGATATTTTTACTAGTTGTTGCCGAAATAATTAACCTATACAACTTCTAACAAATTAATTAATTTATACAACTTCTATGTTGTATAAATCTAACGAATCAAATCTTTTAATTATTTATTTTCGAAAATAAAACTAAATAAGTTCTTGTTAAAAAAAAATATTCTTTTTTCCCCAATATACAATAAATTCCAAAAGCAATCATAAAATATTTTTAACATTTTCCAAAATTCCATCCAGAAGTTGATAATAATTAAAGCCAAATAAAATTAGAAAAACAAAATAATTACAAATGAAAAAATCTATACAGTTGTTAAATTATTTTTTAAAAAAAATATCATCGGTGCCAGCAAATGATGTGTTGAATTTCATTGCTAAATAATCCATTAAAGTGTTACGTTTATTAAAAAATTTATAATAAATAAAATGGAATTGTGTTTAACTGATTATTCCAACTATATTCGTATTTCATATTTGCATCTTTTCAGAATACTCACAGTTAACTCTTAGAGCTTTATTTCTAATTCTGGATTAAAATAGTATTTATAAGTTATAATTCCATCATCAAACGTAAATTCATCTTGTTGAAAAAATGAGATTTATAAAAAAAGTCATTCTTCAGTTTTGAGGATTTTTGTAATAAACTTTGATATTCTATCTTTTTTTAAATTCTTAACTGGAATGGATAAACAGATTGCGGTAATTCTTTTTCATCATATCATGAATTCTTTTCGAAAGTCAAATCGCTTCAGTAATATCACTAATTGTATACTTTCCAATTATGGATTTTTAGGCCAACCTTGTATTTTCTAAGGTAGAATCAAAAGTTGATTGATGATTATACGTTTGGAATCTATACAGCTGTTCCGATTTATCTCAGCCCATGTGAGTTGTTAAACATTTGACTAAGTCGTATATAATGAGAACTATCTGTAGATTGTGCCTAAATAAAAGTGTCGAAATAAAAAGATACGTGCCTTAGGAAAACTGGATACTTCAAATAGTTGTTTTTTGTGCCGTAGTTATTGAACAGAAATAGAAAGTTGTGTTGGTGGGGAAAAAAATCATTCTAGTGTGACATAATTATCTGTATCATTTTGTATATCTCTAGTATGTTGTTATATGAAAAGATTTCGGCATTTCTGTAGGTGATAATGCGAAATCAATACATCCAAACTAAGTTCAGAACCAATACTTATAGGAACATTTTGTTTGGTTTATATATCTATATACCATCTGTTGTACATTAAACAAGTAAATACTTTTCCAAATGAAAACAGAAATATAAGAGTTAAAAGATAATATATTTGTTTCCTATAATACAATGTCATTATACATCAGTTACAATTGTCATTATAACGAAATATTTTATTGCGTCAATTTTCTATATATCTCTACTACTATCTTGATATACATTGGAGAAAAAGCATATATCACGTCAAATAACCTGACAATTTGGTGTGTGTGACAACTTTTTATAGTCAATATTTTTATTTTTTAATTTTTTTTTTTTTATTTTCCTCTTCTAAGAATTAAATAAAATTATTTCTAATCTTTTTTTTTCGATGACAAATTTAAGTTTTTTTTTTTTTTATATAGATATAATACAATGCTTATGTTAGTCCTGTTTAAAATTTTGCTACTAAAGCTGTGATAAAACAATGGTTTAATAAAACCTGTATAGTTGCTTCTGTATAGATCTAAATGTAAAACCTGTATTGTTTAATAAAAGCTGAAAATAATAGTTCAAAATTAGTAATAAAAATTTCCCTAGCTAAATAAATCGATATAAAATGATTCTATAAAAATTATTTCAATATACTATCATCGACCGCATGGTAGGGAACCTGGCAATGTATTATTGCGTTGTAATTTTGTCATCATTGGCTTTTTTGGTTATAGAAAAAGATTGGAAGCTCTTTACCACATTTTTACAAAAGATGAATCTCATGCTATGAGAAAAATCTATTATTGCGTTGTAATTATTTCCATCGTTGGCTTTTTCACATATAAAGAAGATGATTGCAAGGTCTTTCATCTTTATGCAAAAATGAGGTAATCTCATGCTACGAGAAAATTTATTATTGCAATGTAATTTTTGCCATCGTTGGCTTTTTCACATATAGGGAAGATTGCAAGGTCTTTACTACATTTATGCAAAAAGATGAATCTCATGTTACGTGAAAAAATCCCGAAAGTTACTACATTAACATTTATATTTATATGAATATTTATATTTCGATGGCAATAACAATAATATAAGCAACGATTGAATTAATAATAGATATCAATCAAAATTCATATCCAGAAGAGACAGAATGTTGCCATTCAATATGAATACAATTGCAAAGGATGACAAAGAAATAGCAACATAATGGCTAGTGTTAAGAACATTTGAAAAGTATTGCTCTAAATATCCAAATGCGTGTTATAAAAAGTCGCAATATATCGAAAGAGCTAATGCATTACGAAAAATTGCAAGACATATATATATATATATATATATAAGAAGAAATTAATTTAAAATAAACATTTTTTATTAGTTTTTGCATCATCTTACAAAAGGTAAAATTACTTAACTTTATATCAGCTGCAAAACAAGGTGGATGAAATTTAACTACTTGCTAAAACGTTAATGAATACAAATTTAATTCTAAACACTTAACAAAACGTTTTCGAATCTGATGGTAAATTACAATGTCGTGAAAACAAATGCACAAACAATTATTTCAAGTACTTGAAAACAAAAAGAAAAGAAGAAAAAAAATCAACTGCACTCAAAAACCAGCAATTAAATTATTATTCATCCTCTTGAAATCCAGTCAATACTATTATTTATCATCGTTTTGCATTACCATTTTCATCACGCCGCATTCAATCCCCCATTTCTACCCCTACCCCCTACAGATGTTGGCTTTATCTTTTTTGCAGCTTGGTTGGAACAAAGACCACAGGGGGAGAGGGTCACATTCCAAAAAAGGGGGGATGAGAGGATGATCCCAGGGGTTAAGTGCATTGCCGGCAACATTGTTAAATATCGTCACGCGCTTGTATTGTTATGTGGGCGTTGCGACCCTTCGGGTCAGACCGACAGCATATTTCCTATGCATTCGCGTATTTCATGCAGTGTGTAGGGGGGAGTAGGGGTGGAGAGACAAGATTTTTTTACTTGCTGTTTGTTATTAGTGTTGTTGTTGTTATTATTATTATTATTTCTGCACTCCAGGCTAAGGGATGTGCGGTAATCCACAGACAGCTTGAATTCTGGGAATATTATGGGATTTTTTTGTTGTTCCTTTTTTTCTTTTGTTTGCAAGAAATAAAAACAATGCTTTTGTCGGACATCTTCTGGGAAAAGGTTTGCCTGAGGCAGGCTCGAATCGTGGAAGTTAAATTTAGATGGTTTCCTATTGTCTGCGGGGCGAATTCATCGATGGATTTGTATTCGGTTTGTTTTTGTAAGAATGTAACAGGATGTCATGCCAAACAAAAGATTGGAAATAAAATAACTAATTCTTTTAACGTAGTATATGCTATTTCGTTTCATTCTTTTTTGGAGATTCTTTGGTTTTTCGCTGTAGGTATCTTTCCATGGAAAATAAGTTCAAACCGTCCTGTCGATGGTTCACTTGGCTATTGAATGTGATAGTGATTCTTGTAAATTTTGGAATACTTCATTCTTCATTTATGCCTAGAATTTTCAAACTTTGATGTATTCTTTTGGCTATTGAATGTGGGATAATATTTCTTGTAGAATTGGAAAACTACATTTATGTACGACGACATTTATGTTACTTTTGTATATTCTTTTAGAGATACTTCAAGAACAATTCATTTTCGAATGAAGTTCTTAATCTATTCAACATTGCTATATTCATTAGGCTATTGAATTTGATCATTCTTGTAGTATTCAATCAATTAATATAAATTATTGGCATATTTTTATGACTTTATTCATCCGTTCTCGAATGTTCACACATGATAAGTTTAAATTTGCCGAGCAGATTTCAGTTGTGATGATTTTTATTTTAATTTGCGATTGATATTTATTAGAAACCTATAAGAGGTATATTTTTGAACATTTTATTAAATTCAAAACAGAAATATTTTAAATTATTATATCTCAAAGGAATTTTAACACTAGCCTTTAATCGTTAATGTAACAAATGCATATACCAACTCGTGACCCAGCGGTAACGTGTGCAGAAAGTGTGGAGGAGGGTTCGAATGTCAACTGTGTTCGTTGCTTAATTAAATTTAACACTAACCTTTAATCGTCAATGAATGAGTTTGGTTTGCCCCTCTATGGTCGTGTACACGAGGGCTAAACAGACCAGGACCTACAGTTTAAATCGTTTCCGAACCATTTTTTCATCCACGCCTCCAGGATTCGAACCTGGAGCGTGTGGTACCGAAGACCAGAGCACTAACCACAGTGTCATCAGGCCTCTCTGTAATGAAAAGTAGTGTCCAAGCGGTAGTGTGGCAGAAAATGTGGAGAAGGCTTCGAATGTCGGAGTGCGTTCGTTGCAGTTACTGACTTCAGAAATAAGGTGTATCCGATGGCACCAGTAACATCATATATAATAATTTCCCATCAACAATTAGGCTAGGTAGTTTTCTGAATTTTCTTTCTTCACCCACGTAAATGCAAGGCAGTCCTCCCAGAAAGTAATGAATTCATTTCATTGCCCGTCAGTGAAGCTGTTAGTGATGCATATATATATATATATAAAACACGAGATCCATTATTATTATTTCTGCACTCCAGGCTAAGAGATGTGCGGTAATCCGCAGTTTGAATTCTGGGAATGTTATGGGATTTTTTTCTTTACTTTTTTCTTTTGTTGCAAGAAATAAAAACAATGCTTTTGTCGGACATCTTCTGGGAAAAAGGTTTGCATGGAAGCAGGCTCGAATCGTGGAAGTTAAATTTAGATGGTTTCCTATTGTCTGCGGGGCAAATTCATCGCAGGATTTTGTATTCGGTTTGTTTTTTGTAAGAATGTAACAGGATGTGGCCAAACAAAAGATTGGAAATAAAATAACTAATTCTTTTAACGTAGTATATGTTATTTCGTTTCATTCTTTTTGGAGATTTTTTAGTTTTTCGCTGTAGGTATCTTTCCACGGAAAATAACTTCAACCTCTCTTCGGTTCACAAATTCATAAAAACCCTCTCTTGACAAGAGAAATTATTGCTACCACCTCTAATCTATTTTCTTTATAAAAAAATTGAAAATAACAATAATAATTTTGACTTTTAATTTTGCTTGAGATTATTTATTTTAATTTTGCATTTATGTTTATTAGCCATCTATAAGAGATACAATTTTTAACATTTTGTTGAATTCAAAACCGAAATATTTTAAATAATAAGATCTCAAAGAATAAATTTTGACATCAAACATTTAATCGTTTCTATAGTAAGGTTTGTTTTGGCTTGGTTTGGCTATCTATGATCATCTTGTACACACAAGGGCTAAACAGACCGGAACCTACAGTTTAAAGTGCATTCCGAACCACTGAAAAACATCCATGCCACCGCCAGGATTCGAATCTGGAGCCCGTGGTACCAAAGGCCAGAGAACTAGCCAATTGGTCATCAGGCCGCTCTGTAATGAGGAATATCCCAACTCGAGGTCCAGCGGTAACATGCCCAGAAAATGTGGAGGAGTGTTAGAATGTACGGAGTATGTTCGTTGCAGTTACTGTCTTCAGAAATAAGGTGTATCTGAGGGCAAAAGTAGCATCGTGTATAAGCTTCTCCCATCAACAATTAAACTATGTAGTTTTCTGAATTTTCTTTCATACGACACGTAAATGTAAGCCAGTCCTCCCAGAAGGTAATGTCTTCTGTTCAACACACGTCAGTGAGCTATTAGTGATGCATATATATACATATACATAACTCGAGGTACATTATTATTACTTCTGCACTCCATGCTAAAGGGAATGTGCGGTAACCCGGAGACAATTTGGATTCTGGGAATATTATGGAATTTTTTTGTTGTTGTTGCTTTTTTTCTTTTGTTGCAAGAAATAAAAAACAATGCTTTTGTGGAACATCTTCTGGGAAATGGTTTGCCCGGAGGGAGACTCGAATCATGAAAGTTAAATTTAGATGGTTTCCTATTGTCTGGGGGCAAATTCATCACTGGATTTGTATTTGGTTTGTTTCTTGTAAGAATGTAACAGGATGTGGCCAAACAAAAGATTTGAAGTAAAATAACTAATTCTTTTAACGTAGTGCATGTTATTTCCTTTCATTCTTTTTGAGATTCTTTAGTTTTCGCTGTAGGTATCTTTCCACGGAAAATAAGTTCAACAATTCTTGTCGATGGTTCACAATTTCATGAAAACCCTCTCTTGACAAGCGAAAATATAGTCTACCACCCATAATTCATTTTCTTTATTTAAAATTGAAAATTATAATCTTAATTTTGTGTTTTAATTTCCTTGGGATTATTTATTATCGTGTGTGAACATGATGCTGTCCTGGTTAGGGGTCCACGACGTTATCTGAAAATGAGGGCCAAGCAAATAAAATTCCATTTCAAATTTTGGCTGCTCCTTAACTCTTGAAATGTTTTATGAATAACGTTAGTCATAAGAAATTTTCTGGAGAATGTGGCTTTAGTTTGTAGTGTTTTTGTAGTATGGTTTTGAAGCACACTTGCATATCCAATAGCTCTAAGTACTCGCAGTGCGTTGATAAATTCCTTCTTCTTTGAAGTTTCAATTATTACTTTTGGCATTTTTTCCATGCCTATTGTGCTGTATAGTGCTTCTTATTGTATTTGGAATACTTCATTCTATCATTTATGTCTTTTTCAAACATTGATATATTCTTTTGGCTATTCAATGTTATAGTGTTTCTTGTAGAATTGGGAATACTTCATTCTTCATTTATGACGACATTTATATTATTTTTGTATATTCTTTTTATAGATTCTCGAACAATTCATTCTTCATGAAATTCTCGATCTATTAAACATTGCTATATTCATGTGACTATTGAATTTGGCTATTCTTGTAGTATTCCAATCAATTGCTTCATAAATCTCTTGCATTATTAAACATTGGCATATTCCTGAGTTTATTCATCCGCTCTCAAATGCTCACATGATAAGTTGAAATTTGCCGAAAAGATTTCAGGATTTTTATTATTTTAATTTGAAATTTTTTTTATCAGTAATCTATAAGAATCTAATTTAAAATATAAAGTAATCTATAAGAAAATTATTTTTATCAGTAATCTATATGAGACACAATTTTTTTAGCATTTTGTTGAATTCAAACAAATATTTCAAATTATTAGATCTCAAATAATTAACTTCAACACTAGCCTTTAATCATTAATATAATGAAGCATATACCAACTCGTGGCCTTGCTGTAACGTGCGAAGAAAATGTGAAAGAGTCTACTGTCTTCTGAAGAGTCTACTGTGTATACTGTCTTCAGAATAAGTTGTATTCGATGGCAACAGTAGCATCGTATAAGAGTTTCCCATCAATAATTGCTGTTTGCAGTTTTCTGAATCTTCTTTTCATATAAATATGTAAATGTAGGCAGTCCACTGAAAGGAAATGCCTCTTTCTTCATCACCAATGAACTATCATGGTGTATATACATAAAGTACAACAAAAGGTCACCTATATACAACAACAACAAAAATATTAAAATGTAGTGATGATTATTAATTTCTTCACACCAGTAAAATATTTAAAACAACAAACTTCTTTAATATTGAGTAATTAAATGGACTCTCTTTTCCTGAAAATTCTTTCAGAACATGATGTAGTACACGAAATGTATGATCCTAAATCATAAGTCCAAAAATGCATTCTTAATTTTAACCAAATTGCTCTATTTTATGATATCCTTCTCTAGACTTTTTTTGTTTTTTTTTTAAATTTATTGTGAGCAATTTTTTTTTTATTTGATGAAAATATTGTCTTTTGATCCATTTAACTTCTTTAAAAATTTGCCCTATGAAGTTTCAAAACCCTGATTTATACACTTTGATTTGGATTTACAACAGGTAGTGTTGAAGTTTTTAAAATTAAATTAAATTTTTCACGTATATACTTATATACTATAGGTACATATATACCTATATATTGTGTACATATATATATCAGAGTACATTATATATACTATACTGTGAGTAGTTACCATATATGCCTATATACTGTGAGTTTATATACCTATATATCTATATACTACTGTTGATACCATATATATCTATATACCAAAAAAAAAATTATATATACTCATTTAAATTTTACCTATATATATCTATATGCTGTATATATATAATATACTATAGTACATATATATAAACTGTGGGCTATATATATAAACTGTGTACATATATACCTATAAATACACATATACCCATATACTGTGAGTACATATATATACTCATATACTACCTATATATATCTGTGAGTACATACTATATCTATATACCATCTCGTACATACTTACAAACTGTGGGTACATATATACCTATATACCTACATATATATATACCTGTGTATATATACCTATATATATCTATATGCTGTGGGTACATATATATATATACCTATATATATCTATATACTATCTGTACATATATATACCTAAGATATATACTATAATAATACATATAAACCTGTCTGTACATATATACTTATAAATACCTATACTGTGGGTACATATATATACCTATATACTGTGAGTACATATATACCTATATACTGTGGGTACATATATATACCTATATATATACCATCTGTACATACAGGGTATACCTCCATATATATATATACTCTGTACATATATACTCTACATATATACCCATATACTGTACATATATATACTATTTACTGTGTATATATATACATATATATACCCTATATATATCTATATACTATCTGTACATATATATACCTATATATTCATCCATCTGTACATATACCTATGGTGGGTACATATATACCTATAAGTACATATATACTATACTGGGTACATATATATATACCTATAAATCTCTATGCTGTGGGTACATATATACCTATAAACTGTGGGTACATATACCTGTGAGTACATATATACCTATATACTGTGGGTACATATATATACCTACCTATATCTATATGCTGTGGGTACATATATATACCTATATATATCTAAGATGCTGTGGGTACATATATATACCTATATATATATATACTTGTATATATATCTATCTGTACATGTATACCTATAAACTGTGGGTACATATATATCTATATACGTTTCTCGGTCACTGTAAATACCTAACAAATGTAATCTAGTTACAAAATTCATTAAAAATACCTTCTTAATTCAGTTAAAAACTACCTCAATATATTAAAATAAAACTATTTTATTTCAGTAAATATAATTACTCCTATCGTATCGTTTTATCTCTGTTT